TGCTGTGCCTGTAAGAGTGAGACTAATGGAGGCAACACAGGCTCCCAGGGTGGGAATCCTCCTCCTAGCACCCCCATCACAGTGACTGGACATGGCCTGGCTGTTCAGAGCTCAGAGCAGCTCCTGCATATTATCTACCAACGGGTGGATAAGGCAGTGGGTTTGGCCGAAGCTGCTCTGGGTCTTGCCAGAGCCAACAATGAGTTGTTAAAACGTCTCCAGGAGGAAATGGGTGAGCTGAGACAAGGGAAAGTGTCCACCCCTGATGAAGACGGGGAAAGCCGGGCACATAGTTCCCCACCTGAGGAGCCTGGGCCTCTCAAGGAAAGTCCCGGGGAAGCCTTTAAGGCTCTGTCTGCTGTGGAAGAGGAGTGTGACAGCGTGGGTAGCGGCGTGCAGGTGGTGATTGAGGAGCTGCGGCAGCTGGGAGCAGCCTCAGTGGGGCCTGGGCCTTTGGGCTTCCCAGCAACTCAGAGGGACATGCGGCTCCCGGGGTGCACACTGGCTGCCAGCGAGGGGGCCCCCCTGCTCAATCCTGTGAGTATGGCAGCAGAGGGCTGTTGCTCCTAAGTGCTTTTCCCGGCCTTTCACTCTTTTTCCTTTCTGTTCTTTTATTTCCATCTTTAAACCTTTTGTCTGTATTTGTGATAAAGCAAAACAGTACCAAGTTTCCTTTTCCTTCAGGGATAATCAGCTCTCCTATTTTCTTCCTGAACCATTAGCCTCTTTGGCAGAAGGTCATTTTTTGCTGTGTGTAGTGACGGGATGCCCTTCCCTCTCTCTCAATAGCTCCACATGGCACCTTTTCCTCCACAGCTGTCTCGGCTGCTCCATGGGCTCTGCCTCTCCTGGTGAGGATGCCTGCCGTGCACAGACGGCTCATTCATATTTTATTGCAGGCCCTCTGCTTGCCAAGAGGAATTCAGTACAAAGAGAGATGGGAATGTACAGGGGAGAGAGGCAGAGGTGGCGAGAGGAGGAAAAAGTGAGAGGACAAAGATAAAGATAACAGACGACAGGTATAGGGAGGGAAAGAGACAAGTAGAAATGAAGGGCTGAGGGAGGAGAGAAAGTGCAAAAAGGGAGCACAGAAAAAAGGTGAGTCTATGTGGAAAGAGAATCTACACCACAGGAGAGAGACTATGACATAAGGCGAGAGGAAGGTAGAGGAAAGGAAATAAAATGGGAAACGAGAAAAAGAAATGGCCAACTGAGTGTTAACAGGAAGATAATAACATATAGGGAGAAAGAGGGAAGAAAAGAAGGAAGCAAGCAAGCATATTTTGTGAGCAGGAAAAGACATAGATGTACATTGTGCTATTTCAGTTTCTTTATTGCTTAAGGGCCATATGAGCAGGAAAATCCTGGCTGAGTGGAGTAAGAACTGCAGAATGTCACACATGGAAGTATGAAAAGGAGATGGAGCAACTATAGAGATCTTAGAGATAGGAAAATAACAGATGTGGTGCCACTTGAGAGACGGTGGGAGTTCTATCAGCTCTCCTCCACCTTATTCTCTGTCTGTCCTCTCTTTTTCTCCTGCTCCCACGACAAGACATAGACACCCCAGTAAAGAGTAAAGGAGCAGAACACATGGAGTAGATGGGAGGGATGGAACTCCCAGCCCATCTGCTGGATCTGAGAAATGAATACAGAAGCCCCCCTCTCCCCCTCCAGTGTAACACAGCAACTGGTCATTGCTCTCCTGAAGGCACAGCCATATGGGTAATGGCCACTGCTGCTCACCCCAGTCTGTGGCTGGTCAGGACTCTCAGTTGTTCCAGCTCAAGAGGGGAGGACCTGGAAGGTGGGAAGCAGGAGGGTACCAGGCCAGGCATTGCCCTGAGCTGTGGGTTCTTTGAGGCAGGAAAGGCTTCCAGGCTGACAGGATGGAATTAGATTTCACAGTGCGGAAAGCAGCTCACAGGTCTATAAATCTCAGCCTCCTCCCCCGCTTCTTTCTCTCTCTCTCTCTGTGTGTGTGTGTGTGTGTGTGTGTGTGTGTGTCTCCCCACTTTCAGTGTTTTGTTTTCTTGACTGCAGAAATCCCCCCTCCTTTCTTCCTCCCTCTCTCCCTTGCTCCCTCCTTCCTTTCCTGGCTCTGTATGTCCTTGATTGAGGGCACAGGCAGTCAGGTAGATGTCAGGGGCTATGACAGTCGAATGTGGCTGGGGTAGGATCAAGGTGAGGGCATGGACTGACTCTGGGAATGGAGGATAGGTGAGGGGAGCTGTCACTGCCAGTCTCTCTTGGGATTTCTGACTTTATATCTTCCTCCTTTGCTCATTTTTCTTTTATGTCTCCTCTTTATTGTTGTTACTGTTTTATTTTCTTACTCCTTCTCTTGCTTGGTTTCTTTCTTGTCATCACTTCTTCTCCCAGTCCTTTCAGAGAAAACACTTACCTAGCTACATTTCTTTTTTTTTTCTTTTTTTTTTTTTTTTTTTGAGACAGAGTCTTGCTCTGTCGCCCAGGCTGGAGTGCAGTGGCGCGATCTCGGCTCACTGCAAGCTCCGCCTCCCGGGTTCACGCCATTCTCCTGCCTCAGCCTCCCGAGTAGCTGGGACTACAGGCGCCCACAACCGCGCCCGGCTAATTTTTTTTGTATTTTTAGTAGAGACGGGGTTTCACCGTGGTCTCGATCTCCTGACCTTGTGATCCGCCCGCCTCGGCCTCCCAAAGTGCTGGGATTACAGGCGTGAGCCACCGCGCCCGGCCGCTACATTTCTTATATCCAAGAGCTATCTATAAATGACGATTCACAAACAGTGTCAGAAGCATGCTTTCTCCTTGTGAGCAGCCCTACGGTAACAACCCAACATGAGAGGCCCTGTACACACAAGAAATATTTGCCCAACACTCATAGGAGTCCCAGAGAAACAAGCCATTGAGCATTAAAGACTGTGCTACAGTCCCCCTTCTTTCCACTTTCTGTTCACTATTCTTAGCCAAAGAATGATGGTTAACCAGGTTGCTCTAAGCCTGGCTGGCTAATAGGCTATTATTTTTTTACATTCTTAGCTGGTGGATGATTATGTGGCCTCTGAGGGTGCAGTACAGCGAGTTCTAGTCCCTGCTTATGCCAAACAGCTCTCACCAGCCACACAACTGGCAATCCAGCGGGCAACCTCAGAGACAGGACCAGAAAATGGAACCAAGCTGCCACCACCCCGCCCTGAGGACATGCTGAATGCCACTGCTGCGCTGGACAGTGCCTTGGAAGAGTCAGGCCCTGGGAGTACTGGAGAGCTGAGACACTCTCTAGGGCTGACTGTTTCCCCATGCAGGACCAGAGGAAGTGGGCAGAAGAACTCCAGGCGTAAGCGGGATCTGGTACTCTCTGTGAGTGAGCTCAATTGCTATAAATTTTTCTCCAGTCTGGAAAGATAAGTGAAGAATGAAGGGTGGGTTGATTTTAGGCCCCCCATATTGAATGAATACTATACTGAATCCTACCAGAGTGGGAGGGATAAGGAGAGAGGTTATTCTGTAACACTAGGGATAGGAAGTCCCCTGCTAAACATCAAACTTTTAGACTTTTCCAGATAATGTGGTATCTTCCTTTATATCACATCTGCTGTCCTTTTTTTTTGAGACGGAGTCTCACTCTGTCACCCAGGCTGGAGTGCAATGGTGCGATCTCAGCTCACTGCAACCTCCGCCTCCCAGGTTCAAGTGATTCTCTAGTCTCAGCCTCCTGAGTAGCTGGGATTACAGGCACATGCCACCACCCCCAGCTAATTTTTGTATTTTTAGTAGAGACCAGGTTTTGCCATGTTGGTCAGGCTGGTCTTGAACTCCTGAGCTCAGGTGATCCACCCGCCTTGGCCTCCCAAAGTACTGGGATTACAGGCGTGAGCCGCCATGACCGGCCTTCCCAGTGTTCTAATAATCCTGATGAGAAGATCTTTAAGGGATTGAGCAGATTGATCACCAAAGGGTAACTCTGGAAATTGCCTGCAAATTAAGCTAGTGTGCAGAGTAAGTGGCAAGGGACAACTTGGGTGGAAAAGCAAGTGAAGCTGTCCTGAGGTAGTCTCAAGCTTCAGAGATGCAGAGAGTCACTAGACCTTCAGCTCAGTTATAGAGGTTTGGAGATTCCAGTCATCCCAAGAGCTCTTAGCCAGGAAGGGACTGGCCTGAACCAGGTCTGCCTAAAAGCTTCTTGTAGTGGCTGGGAGCCCAAAGAACATCCTGCTGAGCTGGGAGTCCCCGTCCTGGCAGCTGACCAAACTTAAGAGAAGTTCTAGGGCAGCAGTTCTCAACCTGGGGTGATTTTACCCCCAGGAGACATTTGGAAACATCTGGAGACATTTGTGATTATTACAACTGGTGGGTGGCTGGGGGCAGGGGAAGGAGAATGCTACTGACATCTAGTGGGTGTTCTGCTAAACATCCTACAGTGCACACGACAGCCCCCATAACAAAGAATTATCCAGCTCAAAATGCCAATAGTGAAGAGGTTGAGAAATCTTTAAAGTGACCACAGTCTTTGGGATAAACTCTATATGCAAAAACTTCTTTTTTTTTTTTTTTTTTTTTTTGCTTTCTTGAGACAGGGTCTCACTCCCATTGCCCAGGCTGGAGTGCAGTGGTGTGATCATGGCTCATTGCAGGTTCGACTTCCCAGGCTCAAGTGATCTCCCACCTCAGCCTCCAGAGTAGCTGGGATTACAGGCATGCACCACCACACCTGGCTTATTTTTTGTATTTTTGTATTTTAGTTGCCCAGGCTGGTCTCACAAAAGTTTCTTTCTGACAATCATGGGGATATTGTTTTTAGTCTCACTCTGTCATCCAGGCTGGAGTGCAGTGGCGTGATTTCGGCTCACTGCAAGCCTCCCAGGTTCAAGCGATTCTCCTGCCTCAGCCTCCCGAGTATTTGGGATTGCAGGCGTGCACCACCACGCCTGGCTAATTTTTGTATTTTAGTACAGATGGGGTTTCACCATGTTGGCCAGGCTGGTCTTGAACTCCTGAGCTCAGGCAATTCACCCACCTTGGCCTCCCAAAGTGTTGGGATTACAGGCATGAGCCACCGCGCTCGGCTGGAGATATTCTTTAGCCATACAATGTTCATATTGACTATAATGAGTTTATAGTTACAATTTGCATAAAAGCAGGATTTTCCATCATTTCCATTCCACTTGTGCCTGCTGCCTCCAGAGAGAGGTACAGCGTTGAGGCCTGGCTTCTTCCTTCCCTTAGGAGAGTGTGGTGGAACTGAAGACGTGCAGGAAGGACAGTATGCTCACTCACCATCATGCTCTCTCTATTCTGTGCTTGAGAAGGATCTGGAGGACCAGTCAGGGAGTTTTGCTGCTCATCATGGAGGAAGGTTTAAAATGTTCTTGTGGCAGACTGTGGGTTTAGAGCGGGAGGGACAGTTGTTCCAATCTTTAGCTCTGGGACGGAATCAAAGAGGCATCTCTCTAATCGGCTGGGGCTCTTGAGGATTGCTGCTAGGGATTCTATAAACCAAAAAGATCAAACCAGAATTCTTTAATTCCTTGGAATGCTGCAGATCCCAGCCACTCCTTGGGGAAATATTTTTAGCTTATTCAGGAGGTAGGTGAGCCAACAGCCTTTACACTCCTCACACTTACTGTCTAGAGTATTTTCCCTTTCCATGTCAAGCCTGTTTTGATTTTTATCAGCTGATCTCTTCAAAGTCACTTGAGTTGGAAGCTATGTAACTCCCTTTTCTCTTTCTCCTTTTTTTTTGGTTTTTTTTTTTAAACTCTCCCAAATACTTTCTGAAACATTCACCCATTCCTTTGTGATTCCTTAAGTGTGGACTACTAAGAGGTAAAATGACGGTGTTGAATATGCGGCTAGTATAATAATGGTCTTTTTTACAGAGTGGAGACCCTAGCCATAAAGAGTTGACAATACTTTCCTAAGTTGGTATGGTGAATCAGCCATAGAGGTAGAAGGATAAATTGGGGATTTCTGAATATGGAGCTGCAAAGTCCTTGGATCGGGATATGAATCTGTCAGTTTGGAACTGGGTAATTTCCACTGACTAAGGGAGCTTGGGATGAAAATATAATCAGAAACAACACAACTAAACTTAATTGAAGGAAATGTAAAACCCTGCATTAGGGCTGGGTGTGGTGGCTCGGGCCTGTAATCCCAGCACTCTGGGAGGCCAAGGCGGGTAGATCACCTGAGGTCAGGAATTTGAGACTAGCCTGGCCAACATGGAGAAACCAAATCTCTACTAAAAATACAAAAATTAGCTGGGTGTGGTGGCGTGTGCCTGTAATCCCAGCCACTTGAGAGGCTGAGGTAGGAGAATCACTTGAACCTGGGAGGCAGAGGTTGCAGTGAGCTGAGATCATGCCACTGCACTCTATCCTGGGCGACAGAGCAAGACTCCATTTCTAAATAAATAAATAAATATTGTAGGTGCTATTATGGGCAAAACTAGGAACAGATTTTGAAGCATCTAAGGCAAAACTTTTTCTTTCTTTTTTTTGAAACGGAGTCTCACTCTATTGCCCAGGCTGGAGTGCAGTGGCACGATCTCAGCTCACTACAACCTCCATCTCTTGGGTTCAAGCAATTCACCTGTCTCTGCCTCCCGAGTAGCTGGGACGACAGTTGCACGCCACTACGCCTGGCTAATTTTTGTATTTTTAGTAGAGATGGGGTTTCACCATGTTGGTCAGGCTGGTCTCAAACTCCTGACCTCAGGTGATCCACCTGCCTTGGCCTCCCAAAGTACTGGGATTACAGGCATGAGCCACCACGCCCAGCTGGCAAAACTTTTTAATGAGTGAAAATATTCGACAATAGAATAAGCTGACTCAAAATGGAGAGCTCATCATTAGATGGGTATAAACAAAGTGGAAAGACAGCCTGTTTAATGATGTGAAAGGGAGATTGGGTAATATAGCTTCCACGGTTCTTTCAGATTCACATTTCTGTTATTTTAGATTTCTGTTTTTCAGACCATTGTGTATATACTCCTGAGATTTGTAGTAACACACAAGGGGATATATAAAGCCACAGACAAACCCAGGGCTTTTTCCTGGGTCATCAATTTTACTAGCAGATTCCAGAAGACTGCCAGGCTGGGTGGCTCATGCCCCTAATCCCAGCACTTTGAGAGGCTGAGGCAGGTGGTTCACGAGGTCAAGAGATTGCAACCATCCTGGCCAACATGGTGAAACCCCATCTCTACTAAAAGTACAAAAATTAGCTGGATGTGGTGGTGGTGTACCTGTAGTCCCAGCTACTCGGGAGGCTGAGGCAGGAGAATCGCTTGAACCTGGGAGGTGGAGGTTGTAGTGAGCCGAGATCGCGCCATTGCACTCCAGCCTGGCAAAAGAGTGAGACTCTGTCTCAAAAAGAAAAAAAAAATTTCAAGAAGACTTTTTTTTTTTTTTTTTTGAGACGGAGTCTCGCTTTGTCACCCAGGCTGGAGTGCAGTGGCACGATCTCGGCTCACTGCAAGCTCTACCTCCCGGGTTCACGCCATTCTCCTGCCTCAGCCTCCCGAGTAGCTGGGACTACAGGCGCCCGCCACTACGCCTGGCTAATTTTTTGTATTTTTGGTAGAGAAGGGGTTTCACCATGTTAGCCAAGATGGTCTCCATCTCCTGACCTCGTGATCTGCCCGTCTCAGCCTCCCAAAGTGCTGGGATTACAGGCGTGAGCCATCACGCCCGGCTAAGAAGACATTTTTATATTAAAAGAAACACAGACCGGGTGTGGTGGCTCACGCCTGTAATCCCAGCACACTTTGTGAGGCTGAGGTGGGTGGATCACAAGGTTAGGAGTTTGAGACCAGCCTGACCAACATGGTGAAACCCTGTCTCTACTAAAAATACAAAAATTAGCTGGGCGTGGTGCCAGGCACCTATAATCCCAGGTACTCAGGAGGCTGAAGCAGGATAATCACTTGAACCTGGGAGGCGGAGGTTGCAGTGAGCTGAGATTGTGCCACCCACCTTGGCCTCCCAAAGTGCTGGGATTAGAGGCATGTGCCACCACACCTGGTGGGCAAAACTTTTTAACGAGTGCACTCCAGCCTGGGTGACAGAGCAAAACTCTGTCTCACAAAAAAAAAAAAAGAAAAGAAATAAAAAAGAAATACAAATACATTTTGAAGAAAAAATTTAAATGTGCAAGAGTAGGGGCCAGGCACAGTGGCTCCCACCTGTAATCCCAGCACTTTGGGAGGCCAAGGCGGGTGGATCACGAGGTCAGGAGATCGTGACCATCCTGGCTAACACGGTGAAACTCCATCTCTATTAAAAATACAAAAAATTAGCTGGGCGTGGTGGCGAGCGCCTGTAGTCCCAGCTACTCGTCGGGAGGCTGAGGGAGGAGAATGGCGTGAACCCGAGAGGTGGAGGTTGCAGTGAGCTGAGATCGCGCCACTGCACTCCAGCCTGGGTGACAGAGCGAGACTCTGTCTCAAAAAAAAAAAAAAAAAGAAAAAAAAAGAAAAAAAAAGTGCAAGAGTAGAGGACTTAAAGAAATGTTCACGCCTTTCGGCTCTCTGACCATGGCGGTTGGCAAGAACAAGCGCCTTACGAAAGGCGGCAAAACGGGAGCCAAGAAGAAAGTGGTTGATCCATTTTCTAAGAAAGATTGGTATGATGTGAAAGCACCTGCTATGTTCAATATAAGAAATACTGGAAAGACGCTCGTCACCAGGACCCAAGGAACCAAAATTGCATCTGATGGTCTCAAGGGTCGTGTGTTTGAAGTGAGTCTTGCTGATTTGCAGAATGATGAAGTTGCATTTAGAAAATTCAAGCTGATGGCCGGGCGCGGTGGCTCAAGCCTGTAATCCCAGCACTTTGGGAGGCCGAGACGGGGAGATCAAGACCATCCTGGCTAACATGGTGAAACCCCGTCTCTACTAAAAAATACAAAAAAAAAAAAACTAGCCGGGCGAGGTAGCGGGCGCCTGTAGTCCCAGCTACTCCGGAGGCTGAGGCAGGAGAATGGCATAAACCCGGGAGGCGGAGCTTGCAGTGAGCCAAGATCGCGCCACTGCACTCCAGCCTGGGCGACAGAGCAAGACTCCGTCTCAAAAAAAAAAAAAAAAAAAAAAGAAAATTCAAGCTGATTACTGAAGATGTTCAGGGCAAAAACTGCCTGACTAACTTCCATGGCATGGATCTTACCCGTGACAAAATGTATTCCATGGTCAAAAAGTGGCAGACAATGATTGAAGCTCATGTTGACGTCAAGACTACCAATGGTTACTTGCTTCGTCTGTTCTGTGTTGGTTTTATAAAAAACGCAAGAATCAGATACGGAAGACCTCTTATGCTTAGCACCAACAGGTCCGCCAAATCCAGAAGAAGATGATGGAAATCATGACCCGAGAGGTGCAAATGACTTGAAAGAAGTGGTCAATAAATTGATTCCAGACAGCATTGGAAAAGACATAGAAAAGGCTTGCCAATCTATTTATCCTCTCCATGATGTCTTCGTTAGAAAAGTAAAAATGCTGAAGAAGCCCAAGTTTGAATTGGGAAAGCTCATGGAGCTTCATGGTGAAGGCAGGAGTTCTGGAAAAGCCACTGGGGACGAGACAGGTGCTAAAGTTGAACGAGCTGATGGATATGAACCACCAGTCCAAGAATCTGTTTAAAGTTCAGACTTCAATTAGTGTCAAATAAAAAGTGCTATTTGTGGGAAAGAAAAAAAAAAAAAAGAAATGTTCACTTGGCTGGGCGTGGTGGCTCATGCCTGTAATCCCACCACTTTGGAAGGTCAAGGTAGGCAGATCACCCGAGAGCAGGAGTTTAAGACCAGCCTGGCCAACATGTTGAAACCCTATCTCTGCAAAAATACAATAATTAGCCAGGCATGATGGCAGGTGACCATAATCCTAGCTACTCGAGAGGTTGAGGCGGGAGAATTGCTTGAACCTGGGAGGCGGAGGTTGTAGTGAGCCGAGATCGCGCCACTGCACTCTAGCCTGGGTGACAGAGCAAGACTGTGTCTCGAAAAAACAAAGAAAAGTAAAAAAGAAATGTTCACTCGCAGTACTCCTAGTATATACTTGCTTTCTCGGGTATCAGGGGTATGTTCATGGAAATGTTTGAGACCCTCTGCCCTAGTGATCACACTACTCAGGAGCAGAAGTAAGGCCAGGGATGATCCTGGAATCCTGACACACATGAAATGAAAAGTCAGGGAAGACCCCACTTGAAATAGTAACTTGGATAGGCTCTTGGCTTAGAAAGGGCATCTACTGAAATGGTACCTAGGCTATGGGAAGGATTCAGGCAGAGAGCCCCTTAGGGACAATGCCTTTTTACAGTAGGGACCAGAGGAGAGTTTTCATAATATCCACTCTTGGCTTGACTATGTTTTCTTTTTTTCCCCTAGAAACTTGTCCACAATGTGCATAACCACATCACCAATGACAAGAGATTCAATGGGTCTGAAAGGTATGGTCCCCTTGAGGAAAAAGAATGAGAAGGTACTTTGCTGAGGACAGGGAAGTAGAGGGGGATGCTCCAATACAGCAATGAGACTCAGGCTTTGATCTCACCATACCTTCTTAGGCCATGGAGGGATTTGCCACAAAGTTGATTAGTGCCGGGTACCTCTGTTTGTCTGGCTCTTACAAAGCGGACAACCTTATTCATTCTCTTCTCTTTGTGGCAGCATCAAGTCCTCTTGGAATATTTCAGTAGTGAAGTTTCTTCTGGAAAAGCTCAAGCAAGAGCTGGTGACCAGTCCCCACAATTACACTGATAAGGAGCTAAAAGGTGAGAAAAACTGGTTTAACTCCTATGCCATCCTTTCTCCCCCTCTCCTCCCACTCCTCTTTCTTGGTCAGAGGAGAAGAGGAATAATAGAGATGATTTAGGTGGTTTTGAAAATAGTGGATTTGAAACTTTTTTTTGGCTATTCTCACCTAAAATATATTCATAGAATTATCTCAAATTGCCTGTTTATTTCCCTCTCAGTCTGAAACGAAAATGAGAGAAGGAAAGGTCTAGAACACCATCATGTATTCTGTTTATGCAGGTCTTGAATCTAAGATATTATAAGAAGGAGGAATCTAAGGTGTTATGAGGAGGTGTTATGTTCAGAAGCCAGGCCTGCCCCTTGGTCCCTAAATATTATTTCCCAGGCTTTCTCTTTCCTTGCTCTCTTTTGTTATTTGTAGCTAACACTGAAGTATTACGAAAGCTTCTGCTGAAAAAGTACTGGTAGGGCCAGGTACCGTGGCTCATCCCTGTAATCCTAGCACTTTGGGGGACCAAGGCAGGAGGATTGCTTCAGCCCAGGAGTTCAAGACTAGCATGGGCAACATGGTGAAACCCCATCTTTACCAAAAACAAACAAACAAAAATAAAAATCAACTGGGCGGGGTGGCATGCATGACATAGTTCCAGCTACTTGGGAGGCTGAGGCAGGAGGATTGCTTGAGCCTGTGAGGTGGAGGTTGCAGTGAGCCAAGATTGTACCACTGAACTCCAGTGTGGGCAAACCTTGTTTCAAAAAAAAGAAAAAATACTTGTAATCTTTTTGAGACGGAGTCTCACTGTGTCTCCCAGGCTGGAGTGCAGTGGCGTGATCTCGGCTCACTGCAAGCTCCGCCTCCCGGGTTCACGCCATTCTCCCGCCTCAGCCTCCCAAGTAGCTGAGACTACAGGCGCCCGCCACCACGCCCGGCTAGTTTTTTGTATTTTTAGTAGAGACGGGGTTTCACCATGTTAGCAAGGATAGTCTCGATCTCCTGACCTCGTGATCCACCCGCCTCGGCCTCCCAAAGTGCTGGGATTACAGGCTTGAGCCACCGCGCCCGGCCTTGTTGTTGTTTTTTAATTTTTTTTAAAAATAGAGACTGAGTCTTACTATGTTGCCCAGGCTGGTCTCAAACTCCTGGGCTCAAGCAATCCTCCTGCCTCAGCAGGAGGCCTCCCAAAATGTTGGGATTACAGGTGTGAGCCACCACACCCAAGAAGAGGTAGGTTTTATTTGGTGGAGGGAGCTGGGAGACACAGGAGCAAGTGGAGTTGTCTTTTTCCAGTGGGAGATATTTGGGAGGAGTTAGTGTTGGAGATGGAGGTGGGCAAAGAAAGCTAAACCAATTAGCCGGCCACGGTGTGTGCACCTGTAGTCCCAGCTGCTCAGGAGGCTGAGGCTGGAGGATCACTTAAGCCCAGAAGTTTGAGGCTGCAGTGAGCTATGACCATGCCACTGCCCCCAAGCCTGGGTGACAAAGCGAGACCCTGTCTCGTAACAAAATCATAAATAAATAAAAAGAAACCTAAACCAAAGAGGAGTGAATAGATGCTAATGTCTATGCCAAGAAAGCCCAGCATCTAGGCCAAGTGCGGTTGCTCACGCCTGTAATCCCAGCACTTTGGGAGGCCGAGGCAGGTAGATCACCTGAGGTCAGGAGTTCGAGACCACCCTGACCAACTTGGAGAAACCCCGTCTCTACTAAAAAGAGCCGGGTGTGGTGGCACATGCCTGTAATCCCAGCCACTCGGGAGACTGAGGCAGGAGAATCGCTTGAACCCAGGAGACAGAGGTTGTGGTGAGCCGAGATTGTGCCACTGCACTCCAGCCTGGGCAACAAGAGCAAAACTGTGTCTCAAAAAAAAAAAAAAAGCCCATCATCTAAGTAGTGATCCCCAACCTCCCATTCATTAGTGTTAGGGCAGAAAAACGGGCTGAGGACCACTACTCTAGAGGACCCTCCTTCTTGCTCCCTTCCTTCCCTCCCCCTCAGGAGCCTGTGTGGCCTACTTCCTTACTAAGAGGCGTGAGTATCGCAACTCCCTGAATCCCTTTAAAGGCCTGAAGGAAAAAGAGGAGAAGAAACTTCGAAGTCGCCGATATCGGGTAGGTTTCTAGGCCTTTCTTTCAAGAAACTAAACTCTAAACCCTTCCCTGAGTGGGAAGGGCCAGAGGACATGGCATCTGAGAATAGGGTTGAGAGCCAGGAATGTAGGAAGATAGAGAATAACAGTGAGCCAGTGCTAAGATCTGACTTGGGAACTGGGTTCACTTAGGCACAGATTTTACACAGCCTTCCCCACCAAACCTCTTCCCCAAATCTAATCCATAGAATGTTTACCTTCCTAATCTATCTCCTGGGTTCCTGCCTTAGCTTTTTGCCAACCGATCCAGTATCATGAGGCATTTTGGACCTGAGGACCAACGTCTGTGGAAGGATGTGACAGAGGAGCTGATGTCAGATGAAGAGGACAGTCTTAATGAGCCAGGTGTGTGGGTGGCCCGCCCTCCCCGTTTCCGGGCCCAGCGCCTCACAGAGCTCTGCTACCACCTGGATGCTAACTCTAAGCATGGCACCAAAGCCAACCGTGTTTATGGACCTCCCTCAGACAGACTGCCTTCTGCTGAAGCCCAGCTCCTTCCACCAGAACTTTACAATCCTAATTTCCAAGAAGAGGAAGATGAGGGAGGGGATGAGAATGCACCTGTCTCCCCATCTTTTGACCAACCCCACAAAACCTGCTGTCCTGACTTGAACTCATTCATTGAAATCAAGGTGGAAAAGGATGAATAAAATCTACAGCCAAGAATAACTCTGGCTTCCGCCATGCCCCGTGTCTCAGAAATAGGTGGCCATGGGGCTTCACAAAATAATGAGATGCTCTGTGCAGTCTGAGAAAGCACATTTGCCTCTTTTTTTTTTTTTTTTTTTTTTTTAAACACAGTCTCTACTGGAAGTGGAAGCAGAACACTCTGGTGGGATAAAAACTTATCTAGAAGGGGAGAAACTCCCTCCTGTGTGAACAGTAAACCAGAAAATGTTTATTCCTCAGCATAAACAGTGTCTCAGAGAAGCCTGGGATGAGAAAAGGAGGAGGATGGGTCCAAGAAACATGAGGCCTTCTTGACATATGCCCCGTCTCTGAGTTGTTTCTGCCCCTGCCCAGTTCCACCCAAAGCTCTGAGGAAGCAGCCCAGGTTGCACCTTTTGCTTCCCCATGACTACTGGTCTTGCTCTGCAGTGGAAACTGAACAGGACCAGTCCAGGTTAATACCGCCACCTGGTGGGCAGTTTCAGTCATGAGCTTGAGTCTTCTGACCAGAGGAACACAAGTTCTCACTATTGGGGAACTGGGATCCTGATATAATAGCTATTGCTTATTGAATTACATGAGAAAAATTTTACTATTCCTATCTTGCAGATGAGGAAATTAGGCTTAAAGAGTTCCCATGTCTCACTGGCAGCCTCTCTCCCACTATGTGACCAAGCAAAATACACAGCTTTGAAGCTATTTCTTGGTCCTGTTAGCCAAGCTGTATTTTGAAGAAGGGGTGTGCATTTTGGATGGATTGAAAAGCAAAAATGCCTTTATATTTATTCATTCTTACAACAAATATTGATTGCTTTACTAGGTGTCAGGTACTGTGCTATGGATATATTGTCGATAAGGTTGGACGCTGTACAGATATTTTTTTTAGTCTAGTCAGGAAGCCAGGCAGTGGAGTAGGCAATGAAATGAACTGTGATAAGGGTGACCATGGTGGAGTGGAGTGCACTATAGCAATATACAGCAGGGGTAGCTAACCGACTCTTGCAGTGTGGAAAGGCGGCTTCTGAGAGGGTGTAATGTCTAAACTGGGAAGAGTTAATCAGGAGAAGGGGAGGCTAAGAGAGTGTTCCAAACAGGGAACAGCAGGTACAAAAGTCCAGGGGCAAGAGAGAGTACAGACAAGGTCCAGTTCTACTGTAGACTGGTTTGGGGAAGGGATAATGCTAGAGGAGAGGCTGGAGAGTGAGACCTCATAATACAGAGTACAGACTTCAGCCCAAGGGCAGTGAGAAATCGTTGAAAGTTTTTTTTAGCAGGGAAATAAAACGACAGGTTTTGCCTACAGGAAGTCCCCAACTCACTGGTTTGACTTAGGATGGTTTGACTTAGGATTTTTCAACTTTACAATGGTGCAAAATGATTCGGTATGCTCCTCACCTTATGATGCAGTTACATCAGATAAACCCATTTTAAGCTGAAAATATCGTAAGTTGAAGAAGCACTTCTGCCTTATGATATTTTCAATTTATAATGGATGGGTTTATCCAGACATAACTCCATTGTAAGTTGAAAAGCTTCTGTACTGAAAAATCACTTGACCTCAGGGTATAAGATGGATTGCAGGGAGCAAGCCTTGACCAGGAGACTTTTGCATTGGTTTAGGAGAGGAAAGATGGTGACTTGACATATATAGTGGTGATGAGGGGAGGACAGATTTGGAAGATGGTTAGGAAGCAGAATTAATAGAACTTGGTGATTGATAGGACTTGGTTGGATTTGAGGTTCAGGGAGAAGGAGGACATAGGGTTGATGCTCAGATTTCTAGTTTAAGCAGCTAACAGGATTGTGCCATTTACTCAGAGAATGCTAGAGGAGCCAGTTTCATGAGGCAGAGAAGATATCAGTTTAGGATATTGGGTGCTTCTGAGACAGCCATGTGGAGATGCTAGTAGTTAGTTGAGTTTTTAAGTCCAAGAAAGACTGGGCTGGAAATATGGATTAGGGAGTCACCTGTGTATACAGATTATAATTAAAGTATTGGGGATGAAGAGGGCCTTTGGAGATCCCAGCTCCAGTTCAGACTCTGGAGAGGCCACCTGAGGTCATGAGCACTATTGGAGCATGCCCTATTAGCATATGCATCTTCTACTTCTTCCCCTTCACTCATCTCTGCTTCCAGTTATCCCTTGAAAACACAGGCTATTCATCCCAATTGTGCCCATTGTTACCACCACCT